GCTCACACATGACATTATAATGGGCATAGCTGATATGTCTCTGTGTACTGCTCTCAGTCTCTAACCCCGAGGGTTCCAGTTTTCCCAGTACAGATGTTCACATCTGCTCACACATGACATTATAATGGGCATAGCTGATATGTCTCTGTGTACTGCTCTCAGTCTCTAACCCCGAGGGTTCCAGTTTCCCCAGTACAGATGTTCACATCTGCTCACACATGACATTATAATGGGCATAGCTGATATGTCTCTGTGTACTGCTCTCAGTCTCTAACCCCGAGGGTTCCAGTTTCCCCAGTACAGATGTTCACATCTGCTCACACATGACATTATAATGGGCATAGCTGATATGTCTCTGTGTACTGCTCTCAGTCTCTAACCCCGAGGGTTCCAGTTTTCCCAGTACAGATGTTCACATCTGCTCACACATGACATTATAATGGGCATAGCTGATATGTCTCTGTGTACTGCTCTCAGTCTCTAACCCCGAGGGTTCCAGTTTCCCCAGTACAGATGTTCACATCTGCTCACACATGACATTATAATGGGCATAGCTGATATGTCTCTGTGTACTGCTCTCAGTCTCTAACCCCGAGGGTTCCAGTTTCCCCAGTACAGATGTTCACATCTGCTCACGTGTTTGTCATTATACTGGGCATTGCTGGCTTTCCCAGTACAAACTGCCCTGGGAGTTCTTCACAAATGATAAAATGTAGACGAGGAGCCGGGCGTTGGTAGTGCACGCCTTTAATCCCAGCACTTGGGAGACAGAGGCAGGAGGATCTCTGTGACTTCCAGGCCAGCCTCCCAAACAATAAAGAAACCCTGTCTCGAAAACCCAAAAAAAGAAAAAAAAATGTAGACTAAGAAACAATACAATAGATCAGAAAGCCAAGGGAAAAAGAGAGGCAAATAAAGGCTGACCCTGTGTGCTAAGCTAAGGACTAAGGGGTTTGTGAGGGAGGGGGTTGATTTGTTTGTGTGTAAATAATGAGAAAAGAGGTCTGGAGATAGGCTGCAGTGCTTGCCTGGCACGGATGCAATCCTGGGTTGAGGCCCCAGCACCCCATAAGACTGAGAATGGTGGCACAAGCCTGTAGCTCTTCCTGGTTATCTTAAGCTGTCTAAAGAGTGTGAGGCCATCTTAGGCTACATATGACCCTATCTGAAAAAAAAAAAATCAAAACATCTCTTCACTTTGTCATTCAGGCAACCAAACCAAGTACTTTGTAAGATATAAGCTCATAAACTTTCAATACTTATCACATATTGCCATAAAGTTTCATATATCTCACTTCCAACTCACTTCTAGGTTTTTGTACCTTAAAATAGATACACACCTTATTTGCAAAAGGTTTCTATCGTTATTAGTCTCAGAATAGGTGGTTTCTAACAGAAAGCAGTGGAAACTATTCTTCATCTCTTCCATTTTCTTTCTTACACCTAAAAATAACCCTTCTTTCTTTTTTGTACCAAAAAATAGTGAACTGTGTAATACTGGTTTGTCTCAATAAGTTGGCAGCTATTAGCCCACCCATATGTTTCCTATTATTCTCATATCAAATTATTATTATCACTATTACTACCACATTGAAAATAAAAAAACACTTTTGACAACTTCAATCACCTGAAACTAGTCTATAATTCTAGGATATAAATAAATATTCATTAACTATTATCTTATGTTCATTAAAATCATATTTAATATTTCATCATTCAAATATTAATTACCACAGAAATTTAAAAACCTACATTGCTGGGCATGACTGTAATATTTTTAATTCCTGCACCCAGAAAGATCACAAATTCAAGGTCACTCTAGGCTACATAATAAGATAACCTCAAAAAAAAAAAAAAAGGAGGATGTGTTCTCAGGCACCTTTAGTCTTAGCACTAAGAAGGTTGGGCCACAAGAGCCAGGAGTACAAAGCTAGTCCAGGACACACAGCAAGTTCAAGACCAGTCAGGGCTGCTCCCTACTGTGTTTCCAAATACAACAGCAAATAAGCAAAGAAAAAAAGGGGTGATAGAGAAATGACTCACTGTTTTAGAGTGATTGTTGCTTTTCCAAAGGACCAAGGTTCAACGCCTAGCACACACAGGGTAGCTCTAAACATCTATAATTCCAGTTCTAGACTATCCAATACCTAGTCTGGCCTTCACAGGGCACCAGGATAACATATATAGTAAATTAATATATCTAAAAGAAGAAAAAAAAGAAAAATGAAGATATGACAGAACCTGGTACATACAATCACTTGTAATGTTATATATCATTAATTATGATTATTTCACTAACCCAGTAAGAAATAGAGTCTGGGAGTGAACAATACTTTTAAACCCAGAACACATTCCTTGAAGGAAGTACCCTAGCATTATCTAGATTCTAGAATGCCTGCTATGCTTTGCAAGAAATACTCCAAATTTCTTAGCTGGGCATTAGTGGCACACGCCTTTAATCCCAGGACTCAGGAGGTAGAGGCAGGCAGATGGATCTCTGTGAGTTCGAGGCCAGCCCGGTCTACAGAACAGGTTCCAGGACAGGCTCCAAAACAATACAGAGAAACCCTGTCTTGAAAAAAAAATCAAAATCTTCCTGCCTCAGCCTCCTGTGTACTAGAATCACAGCACATCTGACATAAACACAATTTTCTTGTAAAAATATTTCCTCAATTATGTGGTTAAGTAGTCCTAATAGTAGACTTGGAAAACTTTTTGTATACTGGAACTACTGGAATAGAAAAAATGACTTATAAGCTATTATTTATTAAAAGGAACATAAGTAATTGGAATAGAACACCAATACTGAAACTATTCTAGCTAGGCAGTGATGGTACACACCTTTAATTTCAGCACTCAGGAGGCAGAGGCAGGCTAATCTCTGAATTAAAGGCCAGCCTGGTCTACAGAGAGAGTTGCAGAACAGCCAGGGCTACACAGAGAAACCCTATCTTGAAAAAACAAAACAAAAAAGATAGAAAAAGAAAAATACTGAAACTATTCCAAATAGAAAGAAAATGCAATGTTTAGAAGGAGTTAAATGATATTAGAGTAATCTAGTCATTCCTGTTTAAATTATGAGAATTAGTTTTTAACTTATCTATGTTAATTTTGATCAATGTACAAGTAAGTTTAAGTTTTCACATACTTTGAAATAAAATGAATAAAACACAAAACAATTTTATGATAAGTGGAAATTTTAATACAGTATAAGTTAATACAGTATAGTCACAATTTAGATGCAACAGTATTCAAAAATACTTTTTAAAAAACCTTGAAATGACCTCTCAGAACTTCAATCTGTGATAATGTTGAGTATATGTTAGTGACCTGCCTGAGGGTCTTGCAGGTCATGTCTTTTCTATCTGATGATACTCCTTGACTGGTCAGTTTGCCTTTGGATCTACAGCAATATAAACTGTGTGCCACAGACCATTAGCTAATAACATTTGCTATCAGTTAATATTGCTATCTACTAAAGCTTACATTCAAGGGTACTACTTTGTGGTGATATTTTGTTTATGATCTAACAAAGCTTGCCTGAAGATCAGAGCATTTCAAGGGTACCACTCATTTTTTCTCACTTTTCCTTAATAATTTATGTTCACTTTGCCTTAAAAAAGAAAAAAAGAAAAGATTCCAGCCCTCAGAAAACAAAAACAAGAGGATCTCTCTAACTTTGAGGCCAGCCTGGTCTACAAATCAAGTTCTAGGACAGTCAGGGCTACATTCAGAGGGGAAAAAAAGGAAAAAAGAAGAGGAAGAGGAAGAAAGAAGAACTTAAGGTTCAAAGATGAAGTTTATGCTTATTGTCAGAACATGAGTTTCCAGCCACATCCTACCGGTTAAATTCTATTTTCTAAAATTGTGTAAAGGCTTTTATAGGTTCTAGACACTCTTAGACACTTTAAGATACTACTTGTCTGGAAAATGTTATTAATGTTCTCTTTTTATAAGATTCTTATTACAGAATTTAAAACCATCATTTTATGATGGTGTAAGACTTGTGTGCTGTGCAAATGGATGACATTCAATGTGGACATCAGCTAGCTCACAAGAAACCAACTGTAATGTATGCATGCATTTTCTTAAGCGTGAAGTCCTGGTGTGGGAGTATATGGCCCGGATATCTAGAGCAGACTCCCTAGCAGAACTGCCTGCAAGTCTGTTTCCACGTGTGTAAAACGGAAGTTGAAACTGATGGTTGCTGAATCCATTCTAGTTCAGTTGTGTGGGAAGGCCGTCTTTAACCCAGTGTGCACCCCGCCTCAGGGAGAGATGCCAGGGGAGCAGTGAGGAAAGGGACGCGGGTCTAGGAACCTGCTAAGTGTAAGCAACGCTGGTGATGAGTGCGTGGAGTGACGGTAACAGGAGGATCAGCCTGGCATCCCTAAATCTTAATACGACCGTGGGTTTGCTTTGGTTAAGGAGGGAGGGAGAGGGGAAGGAGAGGGGTTGGGAGACGAGGGGCAAGAGGGGAAGAGGAGGAGGGGGAGGGGAGGGGTGTAACCCCCTGGGGGTCCGCGCGCGGGAGGCTGAGGTTAGCCTGGGTGAAATGGCGAGGCCCTGCTTCAAAAGTCAAGACGCAGGGGGTAAAGAACCAGAAGCAACCTGCCTAACTTCCGTACTGTCGAGCGGGGAGAGCAAACCGTGAGCTGGAAAGCTCTGGAGCGCAGCCCACGGGGCGCCCGGCCGACACGTGGTGACGTAGAGACCCAGCGCCCTCTGGCGGCCGAGCGCGGCCTCGCGGCGCTCACAGAATTCCCGCTCCACGCCCGGGCTCGCGAGAGGCCCCGCGGAAGTCGCCTCCCGAGGCTCGGCGGAACGGAATGTCCTCACCCTGTTGCGTTTCTACCCGGACACATTTTAATTCGCCGGAACCGACTGGCTTGAAGAAGGCACAGGGAGGCGAACTTCCGGAGGGGGTGACGAGCGGAAGTTCAGGCTCGCGCGCTGCGCGGAGAGCATCCTGGGAGCGGAAGGAAGCGGGTCTGCCAGCCTCGGGTCCGGTGTTGAGCGGCTCGTGTGGCCCGGAGCGGAGCGTGCGGGGGTCCAGAGCCCCCGGTTGCGGGCTTCGCCGTTTCTGCGCGGGACCCAGAAGCGGCGGGAAGCGCGGCGTCGCTGGGGAAGACGAGACGGCGTGAGAGCCATGGGGAAGAGATCCCGGCGGCGTGGAGCGGCCCAGTGGGCAGCTGTGCGGGCCAGGGCAGGTCGCACCGCCACGGACGAAAATGAGGAGGACTTAGGGTCGCCGCCGTCCCCGGGGGACTCCAGCTACTACCAAGATCAGGTAGATGAGTTCCATGAAGCGCGGTCCCGGGCAGCCTTAGCCAAGTGCTGGAACGAAGTGGACAGTGGGGAGGAGGAGGATGGTGATGAGGAGGAAGAGGTGCTCGCCCTAGATACTGATGACGAGAACGAGGAAGACGGAGAGAGTTCGGAGGACGAGGAGGATGGCGAGGACGACCATGGTGGGAGCTCTGTGCAGAGCGAGGCTGAGGCCACTGCGGATCCCAGCCTGTCCTGGGGTCAGAGGAAGAAGCTTTATTACGATACGGACTATGGTTCCAAATCCCGAGGCCGTCAGAGTCAGCAGGAAGTAGAAGAGGAAGAAAGAGAGGAAGAGGAGGAGGCACAGGTAATTCAGCGGCGCCTGGCCCAAGCCCTGCAAGAGGATGACTTTGGAGTCGCTTGGGTGGAGGCCTTTGCCAAGCCGGTGCCCCAGGTCAGCGAAGCTGAGACTCGGGTCGTGAAGGATTTGGCTAAAGTCTCCGTAAAAGAGAAGCTGAAAATGTTGAGAAAAGAATCACCCGAGCTCTTGGAGCTGATAGAAGACCTCAAAGCCAAGTTGGCGGAAGTGAAAGATGAGTTGGAGCCCCTGTTACAGTTGGCGGAGAAAGGAGTCATTCCCCCTGGGAAAGGAAGCCAGTACCTGAGGACTAAGTACAACCTCTACTTGAACTACTGCGCCAACATCAGTTTCTATTTGATCTTAAAAGCCAGGAGGGTCCCTGCACACGGACATCCTGTCATAGAAAGGCTTGTCACCTACAGAAATCTGATCAACAAGCTGTCAGTTGTGGACCAGAAACTGTCCTCCGAAATTCGTCACCTGCTCACAGCCAAGGATGGTGCTGTAAAGAAAGATCTGCGTCCAAAAGCAAAAGTCACCAAAAGCAAGCCAGAGTCTGTTTCACGGATTCCTCCCGATGCTGCTGATCTGTCTGATGAAGCTGATTTTGATGAAGCTGCACTAAAATACTCCCAGGAAATGGAAGACAGGCAGAAGTTGAAAAGAAAGAAAGAAGACAATATTGCGGAGGAAGAGGCCCTCGAGGAGCAAAATGCGAAGAGAGCTATCACCTACCAGATTGCTAAGAATAGGGGACTTACACCTAGGAGAAAGAAGATTGATAGGAACCCCAGAGTAAAACATAGGGAAAAGTTCAGAAAAGCCAAAATTCGAAGGCGAGGCCAGGTTCGTGAAGTTCGTAGAGAAGAACAGCGGTATAGTGGTGAACTGTCTGGCATTCGGGCTGGAGTTAAAAAGAGCATTAAGCTTAAGTGAAGTTGCTCTTTGACCTAGTTTTTGGTAAATAAAAGTATTTTGAACTAAAGTGATTGTGTTAATACGTAATGCCTAGTTTTTATTGTAAGTCTAAAATTTGTCGTCTACAGGGAAATGGGGGGTCTTGCTTTTAGTTTGTTGACTGTCTTTTGTACTGGGTTCCAAGATTTGATAGGTGAGCTGTCTCCAGCTCTAGGCTACTGCTTTATTTGCCCATGAAAGCCCTACTAAGGATTGTGGGAATTGTGATTGGAAGAGGAAAAAAAGTTACTGTTTTAAAGTACTCCAATATTTTAGCAAATGTTAACCAAGAAAAATTCCCCAGCTAGTTATGAAGTGTTAATGAAATTTAAGGCACTTTTACATAAGTTTTCATAGGGAAAGAATGCACCTTTGACAGTCACAGTTTTTGCAAGATAGCCTGTAAAAAGGACCAGACAGGTTTCAATACAATTGCAATTCTTGGGGCAGGATATTTATATATGTGGGCTTGATGTTAAAGTGGGTTCCATTACATCTATGGATAAAAAAAAAAACTGGTTAAATGTGACAAAAAGGAAAAGATGCCTTAATTACACCAATTGTATTTTTTATTTTTGTGGTGAATAAGGTAAGAATTCTATCTCCCCTCTGCTGGTGATTAACTGTGGTTACTATTTGGGCTTATTCTCAGTTTGTGGAAATTTTCTTTTCTTTTTTTTTTTTTTTTTTTTTTTTTTTTTGGTTTTTCGAGACAGGGTTTCTCTGTGGCTTTGGAGACTATCCTGGAACTAGCTCTGTAGACCATGCTGGTCTCGAACTCACAGAGATCCACCTGCCTCTGCCTCCCGAGTGCTGGGATTAAGGAAATTTTCTTAAGATTACACTTGTGGTATAAAACTGTCATCCTTATAGTAATGAAGGTGTGGTTGCCTTAGTATCCCAGATGAAGAAGCTGCAGGTCTTGAAGGGCTTATTCAGTGGGCTAGAGCCCTTGTTCTGGAAGTATTTAGACCTGAGTTTGAGTCCCCAGCAACAACAAAACACAAGCATGACTGTAACCCGTTTTGGGAAGCAGAGACAGGTAGATCCCTATAGCCTAAAGCAAGCTTACAGCTCAGTAAGGAACCTGTCAAGGCACTAAGGCAGAAAGGGATAGAGGAAGACACTATTAACTTCTGACAGCTATTTCTCAGTGGAATACACATGCCAAGTTATTTTTTCTTAGAAATAAAAGGTGGATAATTTTCTGAACACTATTAGTATTTATTTCCATATTCAACAGCTAGGTAGCAAATGTTAGCTACATAAGTGCATGCTGTTTCAGGTGTGTAGCATGTAGGACTTGTGAGTTGGTTCTCTTCCACCATGAGGGTTTCCAAGAACTGAACCACGACCCCGGGACAAGTGCCCATTTTACTGGTGCTACTGTCCACATTTTGAAGATGAGGAAATCTGAAGCGAAGAGAATTAACTTTTTCAAGATCATAAAGCTCTTATTACAGGCAGAATTTTAATCCAGTTGGCTTCAGAATTGAACTCCATCCTCCTGTTTTAGATAAAATAGAAAAGCAAAAAATTTTTAAATCTCCTGGGTGACTTGGGTTCTGTTTTCTTCATTTCTTAGGATAACCATGTTTAGGAGCAGACTGATTTTGGCTACTTGAATTCCAAACCAAATTCTTGTTGCTATGGCTTTAAACAAAGTACTGGATGTCCTTGTTTTGTTTTTGTTATTTTATGTAAAACCTGGGTAGTGGGGCCTGAGGAATGCTTGCCTTAGATTGCATGGAGGCCTTGGGGTCAGTCCTGCAGGCTTCATAAACTGGACACTTGGATGTCCTGCACTTGGGATGGAAGTGTCAAAATAGAAGTTGTTCAAGGATATTTGGGCTCAAGGCCAGCCTTGCTCAAAACAGAACACCATTGGCTAGGAGGGCTATTGCCTACTTTCGAGGGCTGTTAGATTAGTATTAAGTGAACTAATACATGAGAATATTTATAACACATTACATAGAGTCACCTAATGAGTGTTGGCTTAATCAGTAGCAAGTTAATGGAACCCTGTCAAAATAGTTCAAGAATAGCTAGACTGTTTCAAAATGAATTATATTTAGTTGCATAGTGGAACACAATTATGAGTTTGTCCTCAGGTTAGACGAGTTAATAATCTCCACTTTTAACAGTGAGCATGTGTCTGGTCTGTTTCACCTTTTCCTCACATTGAACAGGCTGTGAAAGCCATTTAAGTAGCTAAGTGAAGTTCATGCGGTTTTTAGTCTGGGTTGGGGGCTTAAGACTGCGTCTCATGCAGTCCAGGCTGGCCGTGCACTTGTTATGTAGATGACAGTGTACCAACACCCCTGGCCAATAAAGTGTCTTAAAATGCCAGAAGCTCCATTGGTAAATCTATAATGTGTATTCAACCAGCTCCTATGAGCCCCAGGCTGCTCTGGGTCACATGGGCTATGGGACACTGCCAAACCCTAGACTGAGCTCACTTCCGTACTTTTTTCCCAGTTTGTAACATTAGGTAAGTGAATTAGTTACCAGAATGAGGCAAGAAACCACAAAACTGGGTAGTCCTGGAGAATGTTCCAAACAATGGAGCTTTTTCCTCTAAATCCATAGGATAGAACTAATCCCAGTTTGTAAGTGAATTACATGAAGCCAGGAGCCCCCTAGAGTTTGATACGAAAACTTTAATGGGGGGAGGAGAGCCTGAGATCTAGCTCAGAGGTAGAGTGCTTATTTAGCAATGTGATCAATCCAAGAACTGCAAGACAGCACCATAAAACCCGCAGGGCTGGCTGGGAATGGTGGCACTTGGGAAGCTGGAGCAGGAAGATTGCCATGAGTTGAACGCCAGAGCTGGCCGTGAAGCCAGACCCTAGGTCAAAAAGAAAAATTAGAGCCTTGTGTAGTGGTCCACACCTTTAATCCCAGCACTCTGCAGACAGGCAGTCAGATCTGAGTTCAAGTCTAGATTGGTCTACAGAGGGAGTTCCAGGACAGCCAAGGCTACAGGGAGAAAACCTGTCTCAAAAAAAAAAAAAAAAAAATACTATGGACCCAGCACTTGGGAGGCAGAGGTAGGCAGGCAGATATTTGTGAGTTCGAGGCCAACCTATTCTGCAGAGTGAGTTCCAGAACAGCCTCCAAAGCTACAGAGAAACCCTGTCTCGGAAAAAAAAATACTATGAAAATGTTCTTTTATCCTTAGGAAATGCTTCATTTAGAGTTAATGTTAATAAGATCATTTTGAGGTGATTACTCAAACTATTAATAAATGTATTGGTATTAGTACTTAGAATTTTTATATTGTTAAAACTTGTAGACAATTTTATTTCTATTCTGCTGGGTATAACTTAAAAATGGGAATAAAAGCCAGGCGTTAGTGGCACACGCCTTTAATCCCAGTACTCGGGAGGCAGATGCAGGCAGATCTCTGTGAGTTCGAGGCCAGCCTGGTCTACAGAGTGAGTTCCAGGATAGCCTCCAAAACAATACAGAGAAACCTTGTCTCAAAAAACCAAAAAAAAAAGGGGGGGGGAATAAAAGCCAAATTATGTTTTAAACCCTAAGAATTAAGTCTGAGAACTACTTAACTACTTACATCCTTTGTGCATTACAAACTGGAAAAATTAATAAAGATGTCAACTATGGGAGCAAACATAACTATAGTAAAAGTGATTAACCACTTTAACCACTTCTGAAAGATGTTGTTGGGCCTCAAGGGAGCATAAACCTTTCTAGGTTGAGATGAGCAAAGGTGTCTATCTGTTGGGAGTGATAGGGACAGCAACATGAAGAATGCCAAGTATGCAGGAAGCAAGGTAGGAGGTAAAGCTGGAAAGGTAAGGAGCACGGAATAACATCCACACCTTTACAAGCTGCTTAAGGGGTTTAGCTTATATTCCTGATAGGGAGAAGGCAACCTGTCTCTGAAAAGGTAAGCTGGCCTGAGGAACAGAGGAACTGGAATGGATTACAGCCGGAGGCAGGAAACCAGCTATGCGAGTCCTTAACAACACTGGGCATGTAAGACTTCAACTAAAGCACAGAACAAATAATACCAGAGAGAAATTCACAGAAGACAGTGGAGCGTGTGAGAATTAAAACAAGACGAATTGACCAACCAACCATAGTGCCTCACCAACATTAAAATGGGGGTTGACATGGGAGGGCTGCCATGAGCCTGGCCTGGGTACGTAGGATAAAATGCTACCACCACCACCACCCCAAAAGATACTAACCACTATGTACAAAATATGGAAAGCTTTTATAGGGTAGAGCTCTGAATTCTACAGAAGTCTGTTCTCCACAGAATAGCCAAGGAAGGCAATTTTACTGCTAATATCTTCAGAAAGGAAAGCTACAAGCCAGGTGGTAGTGATGGTACACACCTTCCATTCTCACACTTGTGAGGCAAGCAGATCTCTAAGTTCAAAGCCAGCCTGACCTGCAGAATGAGTACCACAGGGCTACACAGAAACTGTCTCAAAAAAACAGAAAGGAAGGAACATCTAACTTAAAGTAACAATTCAACGTTTTATTTTTGTTATAAAATTAATATTGACTGGTCATGGGTACATCTACAATTCCAGCATTTGAAGGATAGGGAAGAAAGGTTGCCAGAAGTTTGAGGCCAGCCTGGGCTAAATAGTGAGTTCCAGACCAGCCAGGGTTACATAATGAGGCCATTTCTTTAAAAAAATTTTACAAAACATTAAAACATAGCATACCTCTTAAGAACTTTTAGACTGGCAAACACAGAAAAATAGAAACACACCCAGTTTCGACTGCCCAATGAACACTATCATTACTAGTTAAGAAAATGTACTATAAGCCGGGCATTGGTGGCGCACGCCTTTAATCCCAGCACTTGGGAGGCAGAGGCAGGCGGATCTCTGTGAGTTCGAGGCCAGCCTGGTCTACAAAGTGAGTTCCAGGATAGCCTCCAAAGCCACAGAGAAACCCTGTCTCAAAAAACCAAAAAAAAAAAAAAAAAATGTACTATAAAGGACAGGAGGCACAATTATCTAATATTTTCAGTCAATGCTTTAGAAG